TGACATACCATGGTCAAAGGTCTCCGTTCAGTGGGTGATAATCAGGCTTACTAGCCACTTGCATGAGGTGCCGAATCGATCGCCCCTGAATATGTGGCCGATCGGATGGGTGGCATCCGCCCGGATCGATCGAGGCTTGGGAGATCGCGCCTGGCATGGGCCTTAGGTTGGGACGAAGCTGTGGTTTCCCTGTCGGCTGGCGTGTCGGTCTCCAGCCATCCGGTTCCTTAGCTTTTAGCTTCTTAGTGTATAGTGGTTGGATTTCCATTTAACCCACTAGAAGATAGACTTTTAGCAGGGGATGTGAGGACAGCCCAGGGACTCGCTTGTCTCAACATCGCCCAAAAAGGACAGCAAATAGTGGGCTAGAGCCGTTTACTTGTTCACCGGCGAGCCAGACAGTTCATGCTTGACAGGCAACCTGGAGTCGTGTTGTTTGAGCATGGCTTGCCGGTCTCAGGCTGGACGCCACTCTTTCGCGACCGAAAAGCGCAGGCATGCTCCGCAGGCAGGGCAGTCATAGGTTTGGCCCGGGCAAAAAGCAAGAAACTTGGACCGCAAACCAAATGCAAGATAAACCAAGCGCAAACGGGTTTGGCCTTGCTTTAGAGGACCACCAACAAAAAAAAAGTTTTCCGGAAAACCGCCCAAAACGGGGTACTTTAAACAGAAGGACAGACCCAAATGTGATTGTATGATCAGTGTGTACCATTGCGCGAAAACCACAAGGACCGCCAAGTTTAGCCCGTACGTGCGGCTTCTAGTTGCATTGGCATGTACTTTTGGCTCGAGTTGTGTTGTTGACCTTGAACCATGCTGTTGGGTCCCAACGATGGCTGTTCAGACCACATCTAGAGGTTCTCTCTTTGTTAAAACAAAACTACAGACTCCCAAAAAATAAGACGTCCAGGAATACTAATGATGGCACAGACTAGTTCTAACCAATACGAAACTGGTGATTTTCGCTCGTGACCCCAACTCGAGCAGCTAGGAGTCCCCCATCCACAGAATCCGAAACAGGCTAGTTTTATTTGACTTGTTATTAAAATATTGCATTTGGGAGCTGCTTTGGGCTTTCATGGCTTTCGAAAACCTTTCAACCTGCCTGCTTACAGAATTACTCGACCCTGTGGAAACAGGTTTTCCGGGGATGCTCGTTGATTGGGGGGGTCAAGTTTAATATTAGGGTGAAGGGATTATTGTAGAATTGCGTCGAAACTCAACATAATTTGCGCGACTGAGCGTCTAATGTATAGGTGTCCTTTTTGGTTGTTTTGGCAAAAGAGTAGATGGCCCTAGTTTACCAGGTGGTTTACTCATCTACCAGGGCCATCTAGCCATCTATTTCCTCCAAAAGGACACCTATGGTCTACAGTGTTTACAGGTTGCAACCCACAAGGGCACCTGGCATTTTCTGACTCGAAACCTTTGTGGCACTTTGGGTAGCTTGCACTTTCTGCCCCAGCGGTGTCCACGTCTCAGTCTGCGATTGTGTCTGTGCATGTCTCTGTCTTTGTCTTTCTCTTTGCCTCTGTAGTAGCTACTGTCTTTGTCTTTTTGTCTTTGTAGTCTCTCTCTCTCTCTGTCTTGATTCTGTGTGTCTTTTTTTTTGTGTCTGCGTTTGCTTGTGACTCTCTCTCTCTCTCTCTTTTTTCTCCCTCTCTCTCTCTCTCTGTCTCGCTGTCTGTTTCTGTCTATGCCTGTTTGGCTTTGTCTGTTTCTGTCTGTATCTGCTTGGCTTTGTCTGTTTCTGTCTATCTCTGTCTGTGTCTGTTTGTCTTTCTGTCTCTCTCTGTCTCTCGCTCTCGCTATATGTCTCTGTCTGCCCGTGTCTTGCTGTGTCTCTCCTCTCTCAGTTTCTTTCTGTCTCTGTTTGTCTCTGTCTATCACTACTTGTCTCTTTGTCTCTCTTTCTCTCTGCTATTATCTCTGTTTCTTTGGCTGTCATTCTGTCTCTCTCTGTTTTTGTCTCTGTTTGCCTCTCTGGTCTGTGTGCGTGTGCGTGTGATGTTTGGTGTGTACGTGTGTGCATGCGTGGTCGGGAGGCACGAGTTGCTTTGTCCTTTCCCGCCAGATACTGGAGCTAAAGTTTCAGTCAGTTCTGCCAAAGGTTGGTCCTTGCGAGCTCATCTTAGCATAGTTCGAGCAGCACCAAGCTGAGTGCAATTGGCAACACCACGTGAACTGTGTTTGTTTGTTCGTCGGCAATTGCCATTGTTTGGGCTCCTTCTCCGCCTTTGCTTGAAACATGGACTCTCTTCTGGTAAACAAAGATTTCCACCTTTCATTTCAACCAAAGAAAAGGGTACCACCTCCAAAAACACGCAGAGTTCTATGCAAGCAAGCGTATCAGACGGGGCAAGGGAGCCAGACCATTGTAGCATTAGGATGTTCGAGTCTTGTTCTGGCTTGCCGCACGCAGGCGTCCAAAGGCCCTGTGAGTGGTGTGCGGTTAATGTCTCCGACGAGCGCATCCTGCAGCCCGTTCTTTCCAAAAATGCAGAAATCCTTGGGCAAATCAACACGCATTGGGACAGAATAGGCCCCACAAATCTTTTCCCAGGAAGCTCCATTTGATCCACAATTAAACCCCGGGAAAGTGAAGGCTAGTAAGGGAAAGTCCCAGCCAGAATCACTTGCGGCCGCCTTTGTAGTTCTTTACATTGGCTTAGGTACTGCAATTTAAATTTAATGCCGGGTTTTGATTGTCACTCATTTGTGCTATGGGGTTGGTGATCTCAGTACAGGCCTGACAACTCTGAATAGCGAGGACTGCAAAGTTCCATAGCTTCTTTTCTTTTTTTGTTTAGCTTGTTGGTCTTTTGTGGTTGGATTTCCATGTAACCCACTAAAAGTTATTCACTTTTCGCTGGGGATCTGGAAACGGACAGCCCAGTTTCACGGTTGCCAAGCATGTCCAAATCCACCTTTATTTTTCAAGCAGACAACTCTGCCCTCTTTCAAACCCTTGGCCAATTGGAAGATTGGTTCAGACCTGGTTAATGGGTTGAAGTGTTTGTGTTCCTTTACTAACTCGCCAAGCAAAATTGACCTACCTGAAAAGGTATCAGATTCGTCTCCGAGTTCAAAGTCCTTTGTCTGAACATGAACTTCAGTTGAGCTTCGTGTTCATGTGCGTACTGTCCAAGAAACAGCAGGGAACTTATGCCTTGTGAGTGGCTCAGATGCCTTGGCGATCTAAGACTTTTGAGCGCTGAGCGCTCCAAAGCCGGAGGCTCCAACACGGAGCCTCTCCCGCCGAAAGGCAGAGTATCCGAAGGCAAAGGGAGTTCATGCCTTGGTTTTCGTCACTTGGGAGGAAGAACAATTGAACTTGTTCCGCAGGCTTTCGGGCCTTTCAGAAGCTGCACTGTGGGCAGGATTGGTACTACTTGCTTCAATGTGAACCGGATGCCTTTGGCTCGTCTGGTTTAGCTTAGGTGGGTATTAGTGCGCACGGAATAACAGATTATGCACCAGAGAGACGTCAGCAGTTCACAATGCACAGAGCAGATCAGAGTAAAATCGAAGGACACCAAGCCACAGCCAGACGCACCCTCACACATGCGGCCAAACCACAAGCACCCAGCACGCATGTTCACAACCTGCCAGCTACCAAGGATGCTTGCTGAAATTGGATAAATGAAGGAAGCCCGGTTTCGGATGGCGGTTTGACATCCAAAGACATGAAGCTATTTGGCCGTGGCTCAAAAAACCGGTACCAAAATGGAACCCTGGTAAGTGGAAACATGGACCAAAACCTGCGGTTGGCCCCTCCTGTTTAATTTTGAGCCACACCCATTTGGAGCCTCAGCTAGCGATGCCATGATACATGGCACCAGCTCCCTTGGGCTGGAGCCTCGGTTGGATGCTTTGAGCTGCCTAGCCTGCCAGGGGCGATTTGGCAGCGTCAGCTAAGTGGCGATCGTAAGCCTGGTGAGCGATATCCAAAGGCCATGGGTTTTGTTGAGTCTCCGTTCAGTGGGTGCTTTCACCAGGCTTCCACTTTCCCTTTGGCGCATTGTGCTTGGATGTTAGGACTTTAACAATTTGCCAACTAATCAGTGACTAATGGGTTTTCCATGGAACCGCTAAAGCTTCAAGGTTTAGCAGGGGAGCAGAAAGCAACCGAGTACCTGAGGTACCGCATCCATCGCCCCGGTTTTCAGTGGTGTAGAGTCATAGAGCCTGGCACGCTGGCACCGCGGACCGCGCCCAGGCGTGTACATCCCACCGCTTCCGTACCGGCCTTCTTCAGCCCCATGTAGACGAGGCCGGGCAGTCCGTTCCGACAGGGGCAGGTTGGACCATGAAAAACCGCCCACCATCTCAGCTGAAACCAGGCAAGTGCGAACTGCAGAGTTTATCGCGAGTTCTTGTCGCCCCCGAGAACAAGGATTTGGGTGGGCGTGTTGTTGGAAGAGAAGGCAATGGTGCGGAACATCCTCATGCGGATGGATTAGCCTTTCTTGAAGTCTGAAAAGATGACTAGGTCCCCCAGTAGTGAGGGTTCCCCTACTAAAATAGACTAAAAGTATACCCTTATTCTAACCTCTCTACTGGAGGACCTAGATGTTTACTGCAACTCTTGCCAGGACGAAGTGGCCTCAAACGTAATCCAACGTCAGTTATGAGAGGGGTCATTGTGCTTGGAGAACCGTCATGAGCGGACCTGTGTTTGCATACGCCCATATGTTTTTCCCCTGTTGGTTTTAAAGGGAATCTATCACTGCTGGAAATACATGTCATAGTCAAAGATTGCGTGTTTTTTGTGCCGAAAGTCTCACTTTGTTGCTGCCTGCACTTGGCGCACGAGCTGTGCTCGTAGGTCACTCTGTGCCGGCGCTGCCAAAGCGGGAGGTGCAAAGCGCTGGACGGGCGAGGCGCCGTTGAGTTTGCGAGACGAAATGAGACTAGTCTGAGGTTTGTTCTTTGGCCATGGGTCAAAATCCTGTACCCACAGTGATCATCCCAATCCAACCACTAAAATCCCGACTAAAGTGGGTGGTGAATTCACCCACCAACCAAAATGGGATCCCAAAACGGTTTTGACCCCCACAGCCATTTGTCTTGAACAATGCGTAAACAAATACAAAAGAATGGCGGTGTCGGAAGGCGCTGAGGAAAGTTTCCCTGATGTTCTCTTGGCCCCGCGTCCAATTGCTTTGCGATTCATGCCTTGGTGGCTCCCATCCGGTTCCTTCGCTGTTTAGCCTTTTAGTGTTTAGTGGTAGTTTCCATTTAACCCACACACAGTTGAACTTTTAGCGGAGAATCTGAGGGCAGCTCAGATGCATCCGGCTTAAACAAAACGACACGACTTGAGACAGTTCCAAGGACGTGCCAGATGTTTTGGACTCCAAGGGAGCCAAGGCGTCGAGGTGCTGATTTGCAGCGGTGCACGAGCGCTTTCAACCAAAGGGCTCTCTCGCGGAAACACTCAACCTGCCAGTTTATTGCTAGCGTCTTACCTCGACGCCGAGCTTTTTTCAGTTGGCCCACGGTACCTAGTTTTGTTTTGGCACTGTGTTTGCTCTCTCTCTCTCTCTCTTTTCTTGCTGTCTTGGCGAGCATGTCTTAATCAATACTGATTTCCTCATGTTTCGCGGGGCCAGTGTAACGTCCAGTTCAATACCCCAAACCAGCAGAGCCACAATGAGGGGCCGTGTTGAGACACTGTGAATGCGAGGAGAAGCTCAGTTTTCTTGTTTCGTATTCCTGGCTTGCCTTGATTGAAGCAACCGATTGAAGCTTCTGATTTGAGAAAGAATGGGTTCCTGCGCCCATCTTTGCATGAGGACTTCTTCCCTCAGTGAGCCCTCCCGATTTATGAATAAGGCTATCAATTTTTGGGGTCAACTTTACTTCAGGGGACGGGAACCCCATATAGGCTGTATATACAGTGGAAATCAGACCAAGTTATATGCACAGGATCAGCTATTCCTTGAACAGACTGCTGATTTCTCCAGCCACGTCCTTGTCGTGCATATTTTCTTCCAACAATTCTCCGTTTATGCGCCTAAGTTTAGGGGGGGGGGCCTGGTTGCTCTTGTCTACAAAATGAGACTCCGGACGGAACAAATCCTGCCCAAGCCCACAGGGAGCCCATGGAAGCCCGTGCCGCAGGCGTGAGGAGATTCGGAAGCCGGGAACTGAGGCGGGCAGATGGGAAGCGAGCTGGAGCCGAAGGATGGCCTTGGGCCCCTTGCAGTCTTCCATTTGCTTTGTTCTTAATATTATTATCATTATGATTTTCCCTTGTTGGTTCTAAAAGGAATTCATCACTACTGGACATTTTTTTCCTGGGGCCTTAACCAAATGGAAGCAGTTTAAAGACTCGTGGAAACCACTGCTTGAACTTGGTTCCTACCGCCCCCAGCTGTGGCAGGTTTAATTCTTAAGTCAATGACGGTGCCTTTGTTACCACCCCAGCTGATGCAGGTTTAACCCTCAAGTCAATGACTGTGCCTTTGTTGCCACCCCAGCGTTTGGAGGTTTAACCCTTTGGAAGGACAATGATTGCGCAGAGCAAGTTCATGTCTTATGCCGCGGCGTTTGGTCCCTAGAAGTGACCAAGCACGAGTTCAAGTTTCGGCTGCGTTGGCGCCGAATCGATTCGACAATCGTCTCGCATGCTGAAACTAGGCATGCGCTGCAAAGCTTCCTGCAACCTTGGGACCTTGCATGGTTTGGGTTCTTGTTTTCCAATTGTTGTTTATGAGATGAGCCAACTTTGGGGCCGGCCAACCCTCAGTTTTTTGTCCGAATGTTGTTTGTAGTAGATAAGTCAGTGCAACACTTACCAAGGGCTTGTTGCCCTGCGAGCTTCGCATTCTACTTTGGGGCTACCCCAAGATGTGCAAACGATTTGCCAAAGACGGTCAAATCTCGATGCAGCTATCTTGCAAGGTCTTGAAGAAAGCGCTGGCAAACTTGATGATGCAGCTATGACCTTCTAGATATTGAATTGTCCTTTGACGACGCTGCTAGTAAATGTTCTTTACTTATCGCCATGTCGTGCTTGCTGTTTTCCGCTGAGTGAGAGATGATGCCGCCATGTCTTTTACAGAGCAGCTGTGTGTGTGTGTGTGTTGCTTGTAGCATCTTTTTCCGGGAGCGGCAATGCCTTCGGGGCACCAGAAAGCGGACAACCAATAGCGAAGATGGGCAAGGCAGCCAGAGCATGGATCATCCCTCGCAGCAGAAACTTTTGATGAACTTTATTGTTTTTCCATAATGCCCGAACTTAAAATGACTTCATGATGCCGGGCTCTCATGAATGCAAACAAGATGACCTTGGGCCCTTGCTGGGATCTGTTGCAAGCTTGAGTGGAGAGCCAGAGTGGTCTGCCGCCAATCACGAGCAACACATACGAAGAGGCTGTCAGAAAGGATGCCTGTGCCAGGTGATGGATGTTTGCGATCGCAGAAAGCTGGTTGCCTCAGCGTAATACATGGGATTCGGTCTTGGCTTGTCCTATGGTCCTCAACCGCAACATT